AAGGTGTTTTAAACCCTTCCCACACTTTTGCAATATTCTAAACAATGTTTCTAAACTCTAAACGATCTAAAAGAGCACAGAATGTCATGAATTCAGCTCTGTGCCTTCTCTGCTCTCAGCTACCTGCAAGCGTTCTTGGCCACGCCCACTTCTCTGCTCTGCACGGAGATCGACTGATCTGCTGCAACAAATAATTAAAAATAATTTATTTTAAATTTATTAAAAATCCATGCCGATCGGTTCATCCATCAATCAGCCAATTGTGTGTCACGTTCAATCTTATTCTGAAAAACCGCGATAGAGGGAGCCGCAACAAACGAACCGTGACGTAACGAGGGACCACTGCATATCCTTTCTGTAGGACCCCACTTCTGAACTACTGCTTTAAAAGATTAAAAGTTGATTGTAAATGTCTCAAAAAACACTCCCAAAACACAGCAATGATTCCAAACAAGAAGAAAAGCATTTAACCACCTCAATGATCCACCATGTTACTGCTTGAACAGATTCATCCTGCTCCATTAGTATCATGCAGGACGTCCACCGAGAACCAACCCATGACACATAGACCTGGGCAACATATTTAACTGTACTCGTTTATCATCAACATGGTAACTTTATTTGAATTTGAAGTACAATGAAGAGATGATTTGAGAAGCTATATAAGTTATCAGTGACAACAGACCTAGACACTCCATAAAGAACAAAGGAACAAACACATTGTGGACATGGGACTCCGCCACCCCCGACCCTTCCTCTTCTTCTTGATTGTTAACACATAAAGTCAAAATAGTTTTGCAGTTAAAAGACTGACATCAGCTTAGGACTAGAGAATATACACAGGTGTTTCAGCACCACAATTCAAAAGTCTTCCAAGAAAGAGCATAATAAAAGAAAAGTTTTCTTTTTATCATGAAACACCCCAAAACAAGAATTGCATCAGTGTAGAGAAAAACAAAATCTACTTAAATGTTTTAAAAGTTCCATCCTGACTGATTGTTTATCAAGCTGATGATATGTCGACTAGACGATCAAACAAAAAAAGAAAAAGAAATTGACAGATGCTGAATTCTGAGTGTGTCTCATGACCAAAAAAAGTTACATTAAAATCCAAGAAATATTCCCTCTGATACAAAGATTACAGTACTATCAACAACAAAAAGTTCTCATTTTCAAAGTGAAACATTGTTGATTATCGTTTCAAAATCGTCTGGGCTTGAGTGAGTCAACCCGAGTTTTTGTTCAGCACAATATAGGATTTATTAAATATTATAATTCCAGGACAAACATTTACATGCCTGCATGCTTTCTCACCAAAATGGCAGCTATAGGAAAGAATGATGGCTCAGAGATAGAACAAAACGAAACAGGAGTTTATATAAATGATGGTATTGGTTGCCTAATAGCTCTACTGCATACACAATACCTTTAAACGTTATATACACATACCTTATCAGTCCGCTCGGGCTCGGCAGAGTGACTTCTTCTATCATTATCGTTAACTCTTGTATTTACAATGATGGTAAAAATGAAACTTGATTGTATTTTCATCTAATTTAGAAAACATGTAAATCGAACATCAGTCTCTTTTTCTTTTCTTTTTTTTTTTTTTTTTTTGATGCTCACCACAAGGTTCATATCTCCACACATCATTTTTCTGGATTTCTTTTGAAATACAAAACAAAACTTCAGTCGAATTTCTATTTCAAAGCTTTCTCGCTGGCTGAGATACAGTATAAAAAAAATCTTCAGTGCTGTGATTTTAAGGAGTTATTACCAACAATGCACCTTGGGTACATTTCTTTTTTCGTCTTTTTTATGTTTACTGTGCTCGGTGTATGTTTATCCGCCACGCCAGCCAACACGTCATATCTAAACCTGCTTTATCAAGCTGTTTTACGTTGGCCCGCGCAATTAAAAAAACAACTTATTCTACATTCGGATTCCTCCAGCATTATGGTGAACACAGCACTTCCACCTACAAGCAGCTTGACGTCTCTTCTGCTAAATCAGCCTGGATAGGGGATCCTCGGAAACTTCATGGGTTTGTTTTCTGTCCTTTTTTAATCTTTTTTCCTCTCCTCCAGCTCCTCGCAGGCTTATCAGTACATCACTGTGGTTTTCAGGAACAGTCTACCATCTGGAGCAGAAAACACACACACAGAAAACAGCAAAAGATTAGCCAACAGCTAACAATCTGCTGACGCAAATGCACTATTCAGGATGTGATTGTTGATGAAACATAACTTTGAAATATTAGCCTCAAGTCTTTCTGTTTGAATGTCATTACTGTGAATTCAGAAGCTGATTTAGGGTTAGAGTTACAAAAATGATAAAATATTATGTAGTGTACTCTTAAAAATCCTTCTGCATGAACAATTAAACAGAGTACATTTTATTTTCATCCATTTCTAGCTAAAACAGTAATGTAGAAACATATACCATATTTTTTGGACTATAAGGCGAATTAAGCCAGATAAAATAGTCAGATGTCAAACTTTATTCAACTCATTCACAATAACTCTCAACATTGTTCAGTTGTACCACATAAAATTGGTTTGAGGTCAGTAAGCACACCCAGAATTAATACATAAGGCGCACCAGATTATAAGGCTCACTGTTGATTTTTGAGAAAATGAAAGAATTTTAAGTGTCCCTTAAAGTACGAAAAATACAGTAAATGAGCTGAGTCAGCACAGTTTTTAGAGCTAATAAATTTATTTTCTATTTGAACCTAAATTATTCAAATCTCTAATTATGTGTGAGCCAAACTACCCTTTCTTGGGCACTATCATTTTGTAGGCCTTGTCAGATTGTGTTTTTAATTTTCCACTGTAAAAATAAGAAATTCCTCTGTATTCCTTTGTAAATGTGTTTATTTATTAACCCTTATTTAACTAGGCCAGGGGTCTGCAACTTGTGGCTCCAGAGCCACATGTGGCTCTTTGTTCGCTCCGCAGCGGCTCTTTTAAGCTTTGACTAAAACTAACACAAAAGTGATTTTTAAGTTTAAAGAAAAATGACAAGTTTTAGCATTTCCCTGCCATTTCCTTTGCAAATACGGGGCTACTAGAGTAAATGCACAAAGTAAATTATACTCACTTTAACTTTATGCTTTATTTCTTCAAAGTAGAATACCCAATTTCTCCACAATAAACAAAAAATACACATAAGTCTGCACAGTTCATTGTTTTAATTTTTCTTTTAATTGGCAAAATAATGTTTTTTTTCTTTGCAAGAATCATGTCTTCTGTGATTCACTAGCGACCTGGATATGGGCACCAGTGACTCCCTGTGACTCGAAAAGGAAAAAGCGGGTAAAGATAATGGATGGAATCCAGTCTTTTCTTTTGTCTTAAAATGTAATAATTAGGGATGCACAATATTGGATTTTTGCCGATATCTGATATGCCGATATGTTAAAACTTATTTGGCCGATAACCGATACCAATACTGATATGTTTCCCCTAGGCCCACTTACAGAGACTTTATATCTTTCTCTGCTGTAGAATTCAAATACTACATTATTTTGCATAGTCTTTGTCAATTTGGTCTGCTACCAATGCAGATGCTAAAAAGGGGTCTGAAAATGATGTAACACTTCAACTTGGATTCTGTTTAATGTCAAATTTATTCATGACATTTACTCTCTAACACAATGACAACACTCTAACAGTGCACATTTGTAAATTTTCACAAATCTAAACTCAATGGCATGCGTGATGTCATAACGTTGCGCTTGCACTGCAGTCATCTTTGTCACTGGGTTGTCATACAAAAACAGCACCTTTTGTATCAGTGAGTTATTTTGATGGAATGGCCGATGTCCGATATTTAACTTTATCGCCAATATCAGCCGATACCATGACAATAATATTGTGCATCCCTAATAATAATATCAATAAATGTTAACAATCATTAAATGTTTTTAGTTTTAAAATGTCGTGCCTACTGGCCAGAAAAGTCCCCTCTAACAAACTTAAAGTGGCCCATGGTTCCACCAGTTGATAACGACAATTGTAGCTGATTTTGTGGCTCTGGACACGTTCAGTTTAGTGAACAAAGGGGCAGAAATGGCTCTTTTGATCCTAAAGGTGGCAGACCCCTGAACCAGGCAAATCCCATTGAGATCACAGATCTTTTACAAGGGAGGCCTGGACCTGAAGGCAGCCTAACATGTGTTTGAAAAAAAGTTTCAGTGAAACAAAAAAAAAACTTTTATGTATTTTGTATTAACAGTGTGACTCATTTAATGAAAAAAAAAAAAGTGAGGCAAAAAAAGACAGATATAATACTGTATAGAAAAAGGTTTGCATGATTAAATCTGGCCTTACTGGTTCAGTTCACAAGTAGTTTAATTATTTCAACTAACCAGTCAAAGTTGAGAACCAGCAGTGGTAAAACAGCTGAAACAGCATAAAGTCCTAAAGTAGAATATTTCAGCTAAATACTCTTTTAAGTGTTAGATTTATGTACCAACAAGAATACATATCAAAATTATAATAATAATTTATTTATGTGCGTAAGATAGAACTTTAAACCACGTGAGTTTTAAAAAAAGGGTTTATTAGACAAGTCACTCTGATCAGAATCAACTTGTTTTACTAACGTATTTTTCGGACTATAAGGTGCACTTAAAATCCTTTAATTTTTCCAAATATTGACAGTGAGCCTTATAATCTGGTGCGCCTTGTAGTCTAAAAAATATGGTAATTCATTTGAGAGCTATCCACAACAGGTAAGACATTAACTCCCAATAACATACCCACACAACCCCACTTGAAAAGATTTGAACAGCTGCTTTAACAAACTTAAACTGAATATATTTCCGGTGCAAACATATTTTATTTGCAGCTTTAAATCAAATGAACTTTGGTTGTTTATCCGAGCATGATTAAGTTCATTACACGCAGCAAACAAAGCAGTTTTCAGAAAGAAATTCAGGAACACAATCATATATTTATTCAGCTTTTATTACAAAGCAGCAATGATTACCACATCACAGCATTCAGAAGGCCGCACAAGTTCAGGACTTTTCCGCTGATGTGCTCATCCGATGATAATAGTGCACTCAAGACGTAAAGCCCTTTAAACGATATGTCCTGTGTGGAAATAGTGGATATTGAAAATGGAAGGCATTGCTGTGTTACGCTATCTGCAGACACCTCCGACCTAAAGCGCTCCGTCCACGGCCAGGCGAACGCTCCTTGTCTGTGTCCGCCCGAGCGAGCAGCGCCGCTCCAACGCTGAGCTGGTAAAAGCATCTGTTAGGCACAGCTCAGGAGCCGCTTTGACGTTTATTACCTTTGCTTTTTTTTTTCTTTCCTTACTCCGTCAGAGAACGCTACAACAACGCCTTTAAGAAGCGCAGCGCTTCAGTGGCGGTGAGCCTGAATAATTTAATGTTCCAAAGGAACCTATACAAAGACGTTTGTTGGACATGACGCGAGCAGAGCGGGAGTGAATACACCTTGTTACGACGTCCTCTCATGCTAGGAGCCATCAGAGCATCAGGTTCTTTTCTATTATTAAAAGGATTAATAATTTAAAATTTTCAGTTTGCCATTTCCTCAGTTTATGATCTACGTTTATACGAGACAACTATTTTGTCATTTGGACCGGTTGAACTTTTTAAGGCTGTGTTTATAGGTACAGACAGAGAGGAGGCAACAAAAGCTCGAGCATGTGTGTGTCAGAGAGGCGATGTGTGTACAATATGTGGGGGGAGATGGGGTGGGGGTGTACAAACACACAGGCTAATTACCCGGCACTGCCGTAGGTCTCAGAGGCATTGCACTCTGGCGCTGCCTCTGTTCGAGCAACAACTAGCGAGTTCTGCGTAAAAGTCATTCCAGCATGAATGTGGCACGAAGAAACAAAGCGCAACACGAAGGAGGGGGCTGCTGAATGATTAGAGACATGGACAACGCTACACACACTGACACACACACCTGCTCTGACAGGAGAGGACAGTCTCAGTTGCAGCGGTTTATCGCGGTGTTCGTGAAAACAAAGACGATCTGATTATTTGATGGATGATGACAGCTAATGTTTTGTCGAGAGGCTGTTAAATATCGAGGAGTTTGACTTCTAATAGATCAAATTCAACGACGAGGGGGGGCTTTGATGAGCAGCTCTCACCGGTGCCCATCCCAGCCTGTGTGTAAATGTTGAAACATCTGCTTTCCACATACGGCTGGAAAATCCAGTAGCGTCTCGACGCTGCGCTTTCTGCAAGACTCTCGTTAAAACACGGCGAAACTTCGCTATTTTCACATTCAAATCAAGATGAAAAGTTCATTAAAGAGAATAAATATTTCATTAGATGCTAAATAAAACAAAGGGGATTTTTTTTTTGGCCTCTCTCAGCATAAACTTCCTTTGAAAGATTAATTAATACATGTAAATTATGCAAATTATGCCCATGCAAATATTTTATGAAGACAATTAAGGGATCCATTAATTACGGTCTTTTTTGCTTCAGTGACATTCGTTCATTTAATTTTAATTTCACTTTAGCTGTTTTGATGTTTAATCTTGCAACAAAAGAACTTTATCTCAGCGCGTGCAGGGTCGTGTAAACTCGCCGAACACGTCGAGCGGGGAGGAAGCGGCAGGGAACCGGGGGGGAGATACCGGAGGAAGATATTCACACGCGCACCGCTGTTGCCAGGCAGGCGGTATGAGCGAGCGCACGGGGTCTTAGCAGCTGTGAAAAGAGCCACGTTCCCCCTTGGACTTGATTCAAAACACTGTAAAAGCAATTAATAAACACAGACTGTGTTAATATCGCAGAATTAGAGAAGTGTGACAAAAGACAAATAGAAATAATTAGTTCTCTAAAATTATGCCCCTCATTATTTTTTTTCTTCCCTCTCTCCAATTCGCCTCCCTGAGTTTGGAGTCGAGAACGCACCCACACATTTCTCTCAGCGCGCCGGTCTTTGATAGGCTTGTTTTTTCCCTCCTCCTTCTTTCTGCTTGTGTAATTTATCAACATCATTTTTTGCCATTTGAGGTTAATTATACAGCAAGGCTTGCAGAGCAGAGTAGAAGAGACATGGGTGGCAGACAAATGCTCCTCTAATTGAACAAAACACAAAAAAGTGCAGCCTGTTATTGGGTTCCCTTCCACTCTTTGAGGCGCTGATCAGAGCGATGGAGAGACTGCGAACATTATACGCTCCTTAGTCACAATGTACAGTTTTACAAGAATCAAGTCTGAAAATATACGTGTGCTTTATTTAAACCTGCACAAAGTAGGACAAAAGCTGCTGTAAGAGTGATGCTTTAATGCATTCATTTACCGTACTTGTCGCCGTACAAATCGCACCGCCCTATAAGTCGCAACAGTTCAAATATGTCTAATAAAGTTGGAAAAAACATAAATATGTCGCATCTATTAAGCGTCACCGCTGACAACCCGAAAATGTGGGCCGGTGTTGTGCCAAAAATCGATTGTCTGCCAAAAAGGCAGCTGCGGGAGCGTACACGGGAGGACTTTAACAATAATTTTACAAGATTAACACTTAAAAACAACTATTTGTTTGCTTGAAATTATAGCAAAGGCGTGTCTCAGTTTAACGTTTCCTTAATAAATACACTTTAATGGTCAAATCAGCTGCATTTCAACTGGGCACCGCAACGAAATTCAGCTGATTTGACGTTTGCTCCAGGAGTTCTGGAGCAAGACAAAGGTGGCTTCTATGGCAAGCCAAGTGTCTCATTAATAGCCACTTTACCAATTAATGAGACACTTGACTTGCCAAATAGGTTAAGGGCCCTCTAGTGGCTGAAGATAGTAGTGTTCATTATTTTCCATGTCTGAAATCATCAGATACCAGCCAACAATTGGGTTATAAATATGGGACAAAAACAAATATGTTGCTTCACTGTATAAGTCGCAGGAATGGTAATTTATGTAAAAAAACCTGTGACTTATACAACGAAAATTACGGTAATATAACCGCACTACCCATTTTATAAAAGTATTAAATTACTAAATATACTAATTTGGTATGAAATAGGGGGCTATAATTACTCTATCTGCATATTATCTTTGTATTTAAATGATGACATATGGATTTCTTTTTTTTTTTTGGGGGGGGGGATGGGGGAGGCGGGATACCAAACTGTTTCAGATGCCTGTAGAGACTGAATGACATTTAATTAAGGAGGAGTCATCGTTTCTCTTTTCCTTCTATTTTGTGCCCTTTCACAAAAACCTATCAGCTCAAGTAGAAAATCGCACTTGAAAGAGAAAGAGGGGAGCGAAGTTCTTCTGAAAGCTGAAAATTTGCCACTTTTCACAGCAAATTACTCACAGCTTTCGAAATCATTCTTAATTTTTTTATTTTTTATTTTGTCCTCTGGATAAATTGGGACCTCGGCCGCTGATAAGGGCAGCTGTGAATTAAAGGAAGACGTTGGCAGTAATAATGAGGACGGTCAACCTTTGTGAGGTGTCTTGGATCTGGGTAAACACAGATAGTACAGAGTCTACAGAGGTTATCACTAAAGTGCCCCCCCCCCCCCCCCGCCCTTCCCCAAACACAAACTGCACCCCCAAGGCTAACAAACAAACAAATCATTAAAAATGTAACAAGGCTTATTCATAAAATGGATTGATTTTCCCCGATTATTACCATCAAAGGGGGGATTGCAGAGCTTTTGTGGTTTATAATGACTCATTATGGGCTCCTCAGTTGTAAATAAGCAACTTTTTCTTTTATTTTTTTAAATCTGGTTGTTCAACTGCAACACATTTATTCTGACAAAGACCTGTCGTCTAAAACGAACCACTAAAAGTCAAGTAAAATAAAAATATTCCCCCGAAAGAAAACCAATGATCTTGACCCGGTGCTGTGGCCCAGATGGTGGTGGATGTCTGAACAGCAGGCACACAAACACTAATGTGCACGTGTGTGTGTGTGTAAAGGATGGGGAAGATGCAAGAGGAAAGGAGAGGTGGGGGAGACGCTAAGAAAAAAAAAAAAAAATGAGAGAACAGAAGAGAGAGCCGGGAAAAGAGAGAGAGATTTATTGTCTCATCTGAGCGTCTGTACCTTGTATTGTCCTTTCAGCATCTGTTCTTCCACTGCTGCGGTCACTCTCCATCTCAGGGGTCAGAGAGTCTGCAGGAGGAGAGGAATCACCGCCGTTAAACATGCCTGACATCCACCTATCACAGCGCGGCTTTCACAGCATCATTCATCCCCCAAAACAAGAGAGCAACAAGCCTTCGAGCGACGCCGACACTCCATGTCAGTAACTGTGTGCCACTCTTTGTGATTAAAAACAGATTTACAGCAAGTCTGGTTTAATATTTAGGAATTAAAGACTACACCTCTGAAAGCTTGAAATGGATGAAAGTTGGTCCGGTGGTTTAAAAAAAATCTATAAAGATGTGATTTGAGGTGTGAGACGAAGACTTCTGCTTGACTCTATATAAAAATGGACTAAAACAGTAAGACCTGTTTGCATGATAAAGTATGAACTTTGCATTATTGCTGTCTATAGATGAGAAAATGAGATTAATTAATGCGTTCTTAGAAACTTGTGAGTTGTAAATATCACCGGCCGACACATGATAAAGTGTGCATCTTTCAGTTCACACCAGAGATGAACAGTTTAGTTCAGAATTTAAGTTAAATGTCTGAATGTTTATGAAACATTCACTATTCTGATCCATTTTTCTTCTGTATGTTTTTCAGCATCTTTCTTGTTCCACAGTTTTTGTGCTTTTTAACAATTCATATCTCAAAATGTTCAGCTCTTTCAGGACAATCCTGCTATGACTTTTGGGATTGGTGCAATTTTAGCTTTTTGAAATATTTAGCCTTTTCTGCCATGTCTAGTCGCATAGAAAATGAATTGAGATAATTTTACATCCTTTAAATTTTTAGATCTGTTTACAACCTTTTACTGCTCGTTCACATTTTGTTCTGATTCAGCTTCTTTCAGCATCCTGGTGCAAATTTAAACTTTTTCAGCTACTTTTAGCTGTTTTTCAGGTGGTTTGTTCTCCTTTCATATTCTTTCTTCTAACTCTATTTTTTAGCATCTTCTAACTTCTTTCTACTAATTTCATCTTGTTATGTTTGTTTCAGCTAATTTTGGCAATTTTAAACTATTTCTGCTATTTCAGCTACTATTTAGCTGTTTTTATTCCAATGTTATGCTAATTTTATGCCTTTTCAGGTAATTCCACATTTTTTGCACACATTTAAACTTTTTCAGCTTATTTCAGCAAAATTGTGCTCTCTCCATTTCCATCTGGTAATTTAAGCTTCTATGTATGGTTTTAAGCTAATTTCGGCTGTTTTTCAGAAAGTTCTTCAGCAATAGGCATTCACACTGCATTTTCACAGGAACTGCAAATTCCACAGTCATCTTTAAATCTTTAGGGACTAAATAGTTTTATTAACTAGAGAAATTGCATTTCCTGTGAAAATGCAGTGTGAATGCTTATAGCAAAAGTAGTTGCAGAAAACAGCTGAAATTACAGAAGTTAAAAACATGCTGAACTGTAGCTGAAATGGAAGAAGAAGCCTAAACTAGCAGAAGAAATCAGAAAGAAAACGTTTGCTGAATTAGGTTTAAATAAGCAGAAATTACCACAAAACTAGGAAATTAGCTCAAAAAAGCTGAAATTAGCAAAAAAAATGAAAAAAAAAAACTGTTGAAAAGTAGCTGAAAAATCAGAAAGAAGCTTAAACTACCAGAAGGATACAAAAAGTACTGTAATGAGCTAAAGATTTGTGGAATTAGTAGAAAAAACTAAAATTAGGAAGAAAAAAAAAACAGTAGCTATTATAGCAGAAAAAGCTAAAACTAACAGATATAAGCTGAAATGTGTACAATAAGCTAAAATGAGCACAAAGAGGTTAATTAGGCTGAAAGGAGAATAAATTACCATGAAAAATATGAAGTTATTTGAAAACTGCTGAAATTAGCTAAAAATGCTAAAAGGGTAGCTGAAAAGGTAGAACAACAACATTAGCAGAAAAAAGTAGAAAGAACACGTTTGCCCAACTAGGCTGAAAGAAGCAGAAATGAGCACAAAAAGTGGAAATTATCTGAAAGAAGCTGAAATTAGCAAATAAACTGTTGCAAAGTAACTAAAAAAGCAGAAAGAACCTGAAATTACAAGAAAGAAGCTGAATTGGGCTGAAAATAGTTTAAATGAGTGCAAAAAAAAAGTGTAATTAGTTGAAAAAGCTAAAATGAGCAGAAAAACAGCTAAATAGTAGCTGAAATAGCAAAAAAACCTGAATCAGAAATAAGCTGGAAGGAGCATAACAAGCTGAAATTAGCAGAAAGCAATTAGAAGAAGCACAAAAATGTTGTAGCTAGCAGAAAAAAAACTGAAAGGGGCACAAAACAGCTAAAAAAACAGCTGAAAATAGCTGAAAGTAGCTGAAAAAAGTTTAAATTTGCACAGGGAAGCTGAAAGAAGCTGAATCAGAACAAAATGTGAAAGGAGCAGTAAAAGGTTGTAAACAGATCTAAAGATTTGAAGGATGTAAAATGAGATCAGTTCATTTTCTATGAAAAAAAACAAAAAAACACAAAAGGCTAAATATTTCAAAAAATTTAAAGTTGCACCAAGAACAAATTCCTAGCAGGATTGTCCTGAAAGAGCTGAATGTTTTAGTTTATGATTTGTTGAAATAGCTTGAAAACTGCGGGACGAGAAAGATGCTGAAAAACGTACAGAAGAAAACTGGATCACCATAAAGTGAATGTTTCATAAACACACAACTAGCAGTGAAACCAGGTGATCAAATCAAATACAAAACAGAAAATAGTTGAAAGTTCTTGCCTTTCTTAATGGAATCTATGTAAATATTGTAAACTATATTTAAACAAAGACAAGAAAAAGAGACAGTTTATACAATCAAAGGAGAAAAGTTATAAAATGTGATGTAGGGAAGTCTCACTGTAGATCGTCTGACCGTTGAGGGAACGCATGCTGTCAGAAGGCGACGGCTGCTTCAGAGTCTGCTCAGCCTGCTCTCTCCGCTTGGATTCATACTCCAGAGCTTCTTGGAGTTTCCTCTTGGCCTTTTTTTCTTTCTTCAGACGCTTCTGGATAATTGCTAAGACAGGAGGCAAAACCACAGCCACGATAAATGAGCTTTAAGAGGAATTAGCTAAGCAATTTTTTAAATTTTACTTTTTATAAAATCTGATTATTGGTCTATTCCGGCAAGCCAAAGATAAAAACCATTTTGGTTGAAACCCAGCAAGCAATTACAGAAAAAAATGAAAATCAATTAAAGCTAAATATTTTATGATATATAAAGATTTAACTGAGAAAATCTGAGCAAATACTGACTGCGACTTAGCAAACGGCTAGAGGGAATTAAAGCTAATTGAAAAATTTATTGGGATATTTTTCATGAATTTCTCTCATTAAACATAAACGATACAGTTAGCGCAAGACTCTGATGCATTTTACATGAGACTGTGCCCAGGCTTTGGAAGGGATGTGGATTTCCAATTATGTTAACAGACCAGGAACAGGAAAACCTCTCAGTTTTACGTGGAGCCGGAGAGAGGCAGAGTGGCTTATGCATGTCTCACTACGAAACATCACACTTGTGTCAGTCCAAACAGGAGCTGGAGTATCTAATTGAACACAGGTCTGTGAAGTCTGGGCACACACTAGTCTGCATGCCTGCTCACACACACACATGCACACACACATGCACACACACTACAGTGGCAGGTAGCTTTCAGGCGGTACCTCTGTTCTTCTGCTCCATGGCGAGCTGCTTCTCCAGAGTCTCCCTGAGCTCCCTCTCTCTGAACAGCTCCATCTTCAGCTCCGTCTTCTCCAGCTGCACCTGCTTCTCCTGAGCCCGAGCGTTGTCGATCGCCACTTTGAGCAGGCCCTGCACACACACAAGTGCAAAAACACACACACACACACACTTGTGAATAAAAAAGGAAGATCAGGGAAAAGGGGAACTGGGAGTGATGTGGGCTATTTAAGAGCTTTAAAGTAAAGCAACAACAAAGCACAGTGAAAGTGTGTCACCGTTTTTCTACTCAACAGGCTATAATTTATTACATGATCTGGTCCTTCAGTCCGTCTATATTTATATTTTTTGTGCATCTTACTACACCGCAATTTTCACACAATCTAAGAACAGAAATCTAAATCTACCACAGAGCTTTAGTAGTGAATATTGTTTTTATTTTTTGTAAACGAACATATGTGGACAACTTTTGGCAAAACCATTAGAGTGAAGTTAGAAAGACTGGTTGGTACCACTTTACAATAATGTCACCTTCATACATGACTAATAAATAGTCAATAATGTTGTCTTTCATTTGGCGGCAAACACTTAAACAATTAAATAACAGTTACAGTTCATTAGATAAAAAGAACAACTAGAGAAACTGCATTTCCTGCAAAAATGCAGTGCGAGTGCTTATTGGAGAGGAACTTGCGAAAAAGAGCTGAAATTAGCAACAAAAAAAAAAAACATTCTGAAATGAGCTGAAATGGAAGAATAAGCCTAGATTAAAAGAAGAAAGAAGAAAGAACACAGATTTGCTAAATTAGGTTCACCGTAAATAAGCAAAATTAGTACAAAAATTAAGATATTAGCTAAAAACTGCTGAAATTAGAAAAAAAATAGCTGAAAAGTAGCTGAAAAGGTAGAAAGAAGCTTACACTACCAAAAAGAAGCAGAAAGAACTGAAAAAAGCTAAAACAATGTGGAGAAAGCAGAAAATGATAAAATTAACATCAAAAGAGCGAAGTAATAACTGAAAGAGCAGAAAAAGCTGAAACTAGCAGAAAAAGCAGAAAGGAGCATAACAAGCTGAAATTGGCGTAAAGAAGTTAATTAAGCTGACAGTGGAAGAAAAACCTTGAATTTAACAAAAAACAGCTAAAATTAACAAAAAAAAATTCTAAAGTGGTAGCTGAAAAGGTAGAACAAGCGTAAATTAGCAGAAGAAAGCAGAAAGAACATGTTTGTCCAAGTAGGCTGAAAGAAGCAGAAATTAGCACAAAAAAGTGGAAATTATCTAAAAAAAAAAATTTAAATGAGCAAACAACAGCTGAAAAGCAGCTAAAAAAGTATAAAGAATCAAATTACCAGAACAAAGTGCAGAGATAACTTTTTTTTTTTTTTTTGCTGAATTAGGCTGAAAAAAGTTTAAATGAGTGCAAAAAAATGTGAAATTAGTCAAAAAAGATACAATTAGCAAAAAAACAGCTAAATAGTAGCTGAAATAGCTGATAAAGCTGAATAAGCTGGCAGGGGCATAACAAGCTGAAATTTGCAGAAAGAATGTGCTATAGTTCACATAAAGAATCTAACAGGATCATAAATCTGCTGAAAAAACAGCTGAAATTAGCTGAAAATGTTTAAATTTGCACAAGGACACTGGAAGAAGCTTAATCAGAACAAAATGTGAAAGGTTGTAAACCGATCTAAAGATTTGAAGGATGTAAAATGAGCTCAATTCATTTTCTATGAGAAAAAAAATGGCAGAAAAGGCTAAATGTTTTAAAAAGCTAAAAAGTATTGCACCAATGCTAAAAGTCATAGCAGGATTGCCCTGAAAGAACTGAACATTTTGATTTGTGATTTGTTGAAATAGCACAAAAATTGTGGAACGAGAAAAATGCTGAAAAACGTACAGAAGATAAATTGATCACAGAAGAGTGAGTGTTTGATAAACATTCACACAATGATCACGTTTCTCTCCAAACAGTGATCCAAACAAGCAACGTATCCGTCCTCTCCATATTGTTCAGTTAATTAAATCAAATGTTTGTCAGAGTGTTTGAAATCATAGTTAGACCAAGAGCACTTGTAGATACACTGAGCAAAGAGAAAAAATAAAGACCTTACCTGAAAGAATAAAAGAAAACTTGATCATGCCAAATAACATATATATTGTTTATAGATGTTTAAACTTTATAACAAGTTTACAGATTAATTATCAACCTTGTAAAGCATAAATATATCTTTTTTTTATAAAGGGACTCTTATTGTAAAGTGGTACAGAAGAAATTGCTGCAAAGGAAACGGAGGAGAAAATACAAGAATAAAAGAGAATCTTTGACATTCAAAGTTTCAAATGAATCTTATGTGTACAGGAATGTGCAAAAGTCCCAATCCATCCCTCCTTCATTTGCATTTTGCTGCCAAGAACAGCTCTTCACCACAACGGACCGGTACAGAGTTCACAATACTGCAGACGATGCACTAATCCATCTGCCAATCTCACCTGTATAAACAGTTAAATAAAATAAAGAAGTCAGACTTTCTTGTACTCTTGAAGGTGATCTTCATCAATAGTTTAAGATTTCTGAAGCTCATTTCAAAGATTTTCTTTAGAATTAGAAAGCGTTCTTTTTTAGTCAAGTACTTGACCGTATTATGTAAACGGTATATTTATTATTTTCTGTTTTTAATAGTTTGTTGGAGTCTTTTATCTCTGAATTAATTATTTGGGATTTGGAATGATTAAAGGATCTTAGACTCAACAAGATGAACCAACGACGTCAACAGACAAATGATCTCCGGGTCAGCTGTAAATGAAATCTTTGAGCACTTTGTTTCAGCGGTGTGTCCCGAAGACACAACCTGTATTTATTTGATCAAATCTATGAGAAATGTCAAAGACAACACAGAATAGCATGTTATGCCTCTTTTACCTATTTGTCGGGGGCAGTTTTGGTTGAGTGTATAGAGGAGTCATCCTCCAATGCAAGAGTTGGGGGTTTGATTCTACCAGCAGTCACACATGCCAAAGTGTCCCTGGGCAAGACACTGAACCCCTCATTGCCACCGATGTGTCCTATCTGTGTATGAATGTGATAAAGCACTAATTATTCTTTGTATAGATCTAGTAGAGTGCTGTATGAATGGGTAAATGAGGACACAGATTGTGCTGTAAAGAGCTTTGAGTATCTTGATAAAATAGAATGGTACAGTCCAATTACCATTTTAGCATCAACAAGGAGCAGTTAGCTGAATAATTGACAAACAGTCTGATCAACTGAGGGATGATAACTCACTTCATTCTTTTTAACAAATATTTTTTTCTTTCTTAAAAATACAACTTTCAGGTTTAAATATTTCTTTAGGCCTGGCCAGGGCTTAACTTGTAAACCGTTTGATGCCGGAACATGAATAGCATGCGGTCCGGTCTGGCGGGGGCGGGGGGTGTCTTGTGGGTCCTCCTCCAGAAAATTTGGAATAAAAGAGATGCCATTTCTTGCATTTTGGTGTATTTTAACCGGTTGTTAAACATCTGTAAACATTTGATTAAACTGATTAAAAACATGTCTCTCTTAAAAATGAGTCCTCGAGGCTCAATGAGACTAACAACCTGTATAAATTAAGGACAATCCATCCACCCATCCATTTATTTTATTAAAGTAAATTGTCTTTTTGATATTTTGATGGCTGTTATTTTGACAAATTAGTGCCATTGTCTTGAAACGTGATGTAATGGGAATAATACTCAAACATTTCTCTCGTTGTATGATTTTTATTTATTTTTTACTGTAAGCTTCTTTGTTTATGTCTGAAATGTACGCAGGAGTTCAGACACATCAGCAGTTGTGCGCGCGGTCAGTGGAACTGTCTGGAGACGCTCCTGTGTGTAAAACGTGCACTGTCTGCAGGGTGCACAGCTGAAGGTGGATGAAGACGTTCATCCCTGCGGGACATGCGATCCGTGTCTCTGCTGGGCAGGAGCGTGTGCGCGAGCTGGTGCGCGTACTGCAGCCGGAACAAACACTCCGCAGACTGGACAACGTCTCCTCTCGTTGTATTTTTAATAAATAATAAAAATAAAAATGAGTGATGACTTTGAACTTTAAGGGGCAGAGATTTGAGTTGCCTGATCTGAGCAAACAGTTGCCCGAACACAGCCTGTCAAAATGAGAGAGTTCCCGGATCTTGTTCCGGCAGGATCCGGCTCAAATTAACCACTGGGCCTGGCACTTCTCTTTTTGCCTGTGTGAATGATCCATTATTTTTAAGCACACACTGTCCAATATGCATGGTCAAGTACAAAAAAAAAAAAAGGACTAAAAATGAGAAAATCAGCCAAAGCTCCACAAAATAAAAAAGCCCAACAATTTAGAAAGACCTTGAGAAAGATGGTGATCTACTGATCAAGTCCATTTCAAAGGTTACAGGAAATTCAGGTTCTTTAAAAGCAAAGTATAAAAAAATTAGGACGCTAACGTACTTACAATTCCAGAAGGTGAATTGTTAACGCGGTTCATAATTTTTAAACTGCTTTTCGTCAACTGACATCTGTGTCAAGACTGCCTTCAAATGGACTAAATTAATTTCTCCATAAAACACCGTCCTCCTGACAGCGCTACATTCTTATGTGAAAGCAATCCAGTAACATGAAGACTTTCATCACAATTATTCCCCATCCACACGCAATTATATGGAAGCCACTGGACTATGGCTTACTAATTGTTGATTCTTCTAACCCCAATTTATTCTAAGTTGCTTTATCTTAATTTTCTGCTTGGTTTCATTTTGTTGATTTGTATATAAATATTCAAGGCGAAGATCATTATCAAAGATGACTAAGAGGAGTGTTGGGAGCTCACGACGGGGTTTTGTGGCGGCTCTCTAATTATCACATGGAGCCAAAGGAGAAGCAAGACTCTGATGCCAGTGGAACGAGTGCAGTGAGAAGGGCAGCGGGGTCCACACATCATTACACCCAGGAAACAAGGAGAACGGCATTCATCTTTCTGATCGAGGGGGTTTGAGCTGAAGCCTGAGCAGCACTCTGAGGAGATGGGTGCTGTTAGTGTGAATGTTTCACTGATCCCTGCATGCACAACAAATACAAACCTGGGATCTAAGTGTGGAGAAAAACGTGCCCTTACACATTCTCATCTATGACGGCTGCTTTTATCAAACAAGTAGAGATGCACCAATCCCGGTTGTCAGGGTGAATCTAAATTATGGATTTTGATAAGTTTTGACCTGCTGACCTGCATCTATTAATAATTAAAACAAGAGAAATTGCATGTCCTGCAAAAATGCACTGTGACTGCTTATTGCTGAAGAACTTGATGAAAAACAGTTGAAATGAGCTAAAACATGCTGAAATGTTGCTGAAATGGAAGAACAAGCCAAAATTAGCAGAGGAAATTGGGATTGGATTACGTAATTGGGATTAAAGAAGCAGAAATGAGCATAAAAAAGTGGAAATTTTCGGAAAAAAACAACAAAAAAAAACAGCTAAAAGTAGCTAAAAAGGCAGAAAGAAGCTTAAATTACCAGAAAGAAGTGTAGAGAGCACATTTTTGTTGTGAATTAGACTGAAAAAAGTTGAAACAAGTGCAAAATGTGAAATTAGCTGAAAAGGCTAAAAATTAGCATAAACAGCTAAATAGTAGCTGAAATAACTTAAACTAGCATAAATAAGCTAAAAGGAGCACAACAAGCTGAAATTAGCACAAAGAAGTTAATTAGGCTGAAAGTAGCAGAAATTACCACAAAAACTTGAAATTATAAGAAAACAGCTGAAATTAGCTACAAAAAATGCTAAAATGTAGCTGAAAATGTAGAACAAGCTTAAAGCACATGTTTGCCTAACTAGATCCAAAGAAGCAGAAATGATCATAAAAAAGTGGAACAATCTGAAAAGAGCTGAAATTAGCAAAAAAACAGCTGAAAAGTACAAAGTAACAAAAAAAAAGGCAGAAAGAAGCCTAAATTACCAGAAAGAAGTGGAAAGAGTACATTTTAGCTGAATTTTGCTGAATAAAGTTGCAATGAGTGCAAAAATGTGGAATTAGCCCCCCAAAAAACCAACCTAAAATTAGCATACAACAACTAAATAGTAGCTGAAATAGCAGAGAAAGCAGAAACTTGCATAAGTGAGCTGAAATGAGCATAGCAAGCTGAAATTAGTAGAAAGAAATTAAAAGGAGCACAAAAATGTTGTAGTTAGCAGAAAGAATCTAAAAGGAGCACAAAACAGCTGAAAAAAACCCAGCTGAAAGTAGCTGAAATTAAGTTTAAACTTGCACAAGGAAGCTGAAAGAGCTGAACATTTTGATATATGATTTGTTGAAATAGCACAAAAGTTGTGGAACGAGAAAGATGCTGAAAAACGTAGAGAAGACAAATGGATCACAGTAGAGTGAATACTTCATAAACATTAACACAACTAATAACTTTGAAAAGTTGTTCTTTGTTGTTTCTGTTCAAATGTGAGATTATATGTTTAATATACACATTTTACAAAAAAAAACCTAAAAAAAATAAAAACAGTATTTCTTGAAGAAATGCATTTCCCCCATTCATGGTGAGGTTAAAACATGAAATGACAGCAATAGTTGTTTGGAAATCTTAAAAATATTGTTTAATTTTACCAGTACGATACATGCAACATGTTAGAGCTTGGACTATGCTCTATAAAAGACCCGCAGCTACAACTGCATCACATTTAACTCAATAGTTGTAAAAGTGACTGAGTTATAGTCATTTCTGTGCAGACTTAATTTGTTTAGCTGTGGTGGCCATCTTGAATCAGGCTGACTCGAAAAGCTTATAAGTTGTAGATGTACATCTATTGATTACTTTCCGAGTGTTTCATTAAAACCTGTCTTGGAGTTCATTCAATATTTTGCTAACAGACAAAAAGAGCTGACCTCAATCAGTAAAGTTATAGGCAAAGATGTAGCACAATGTGTAGTGCTCAGAGTTTGTGTTTAGGATAACTCTCAGGTACAACCACTATAATTTTTTGCCCAATGCCTTTAAAAGTGATTGAAATTCAGCTACTTTAGATCAATTAGATCTAGTGGACATATTTTATTGGACTGACTCCAACCGTTAATCAGTTGTACATGTACCTCCAGTGACTACAGTTTGAGACTGTCATTAAAAATAATTAAACTGAGACAAAAGAATACCCCCCACACTCCATTCACACACACAAGAAATCAGTTTTCAGAATTTCGGCAGTTACAGCTCATTAGACAAAAAAACAACTAAAGAAATTGCACTTCCTGTGAAAATGCAGTGTGAATGCTTTTTGCAGAAGAACTAGCTGAAAAACAGCTGAAATGGACAAACAAGCCTAAATTAACAGAGGAATGCAGAAAGAACACACATATGAAGAATTGGGTTTAAATAAGCAGAGATTAGCACAAAAATTAAGAAATAAGATAAATAAAAAAAGGCTGAAATTAGCCAAAAAAAAAATGTTGAAAAGTAGCTGAAAAGTAGCTGAAAAGGCAGAAAGAAGCTTAAACTACCAAAAGGAAGTGGAAAGAACTGATATGAGCTAAAAAAAAAATTTAAAAATTAAAATTAGCATCAAAAAAGCTAAATAGAAAAGAGTAAAAAAAGCTGAAACTAGAAGAAAAGCTGAAAGGAGAATAACTGCCTGAAATTAGTATAAAGAAGTAAATTAGGGTGAAAGTAGCAGAAATTACCACAAAAACCTTGAATTTATCAGAAAACAGCTGAAATTATTTAAAAAATGCTAAAAATGTAGCTGAAAAGGTAGAACAAGCTTAAGTTAACCGAAGAAAGCAGAAATAACATGTTTGCCCAATAAGGCTTAAAGAAGCAGAAATTAGCACAAAAAGGGGAGATTTTCTGAAAAAAGCTGAAATGAGCACCAGCAAAACAAAACAGGCTGAAATGTAGCTAAAAAAGCGAAAGAAGCTTAAATTACCAGAAGGAAGTGGAGAGAGCATGGATATGACAGCAATAGAACTAGAACTGGCAGATTATGCAAGCAAAGCTGTCTCAAAAGAAAAATCTCTGAATTTTTTTTACTTCATTCTCATCTGATTTTAAAATTACACCTGAGCGTCCCTAAATTTGTCACATCCTTGATGTCAGTGAAGTTATGTTTAGGCAAATAAAACTACTGTGTTACAGCACATACTTTCATTTTTACACCAAACAGCTTTAAACAGTAAAGTGTGAGATTTTTTCAAGACATCTTTAAAACTGACAAGACGTGGGTCTATCTAGACGAGGCTAAAGAGGCAATTTAAAGCCATATTAACTATGACATCACAGTCAGGCTTCATGTCGGTCCTGTGGGACACACCTGTATGTTGGTGAGGAGGGTCTCTATTGACGACAGGCCATCTGGGAAGAGAAATGGCGACGGGAAACCAGGAGGCAAACCCTGTCCAGCCAACGACAACCTCTCATAGCTGTCTCTTGCAGTGGGGGTGCACATCAGGTTGTCCTCTGCAAAAAAAAATAAAAAATACAACTGAAGATCCAGAAAAATGCTCTATTTGTTCAACCTGAAAGAGATAAGAGAAGATGAGAGTAGTTGACCATGCTGACACATATTGAGGCTGGCAGTAGCAACGGCTGGGTTTGTATTGATCTCCAGAGGGCAATCCCAGTTCTGCCCACCTCAGAAAAAAACACTGGACTGATCGGTCCTTTGGAGATTTCGTCCTATTGTTTCCTCTCGAAGCCTGACAATAAGGGGCTGAGTAATAGAAACTAGAACATTATTCTAGCTACCTGTTTTTAAGAGATGTCATGTGGATTCAGAAATAAGCAGCAGGCCAGTAGTTTGACCCCAGAGACTCGCTGCTTCCTTTGTGCACGCTCACACGAGTGCCTGTCAAACCTGAGATGACATCATCCTCCATTCATCACCGGCAGAAGGGTAGGGCCCTGCCATCTGCTGTCCAGCCTCTCCGCTGGGCCTCAGAGGAGAGATGAGCGGCAGAGAGGAGGGAGGGGAAGCAGGATAGACCGGCAGACACATGTATGGTTGAACTAAAACAGCATGTCACACACATACATTTGTTACCCTATCACATCTGACACGTGTTTTTGTCCAATGAGCTTAAGCCAAGATATTGTAAGCATTTTGGTGGTATTGTTTATTAAACACAGGCGGTCTAAGAAAATGTCTCCATCAGAAAGGTTTTCTATGTGCAGCACCTCTCTGCTCTCATCCAGTATTCATACGTGTTTATATGGCAGGCTGAGTCTTGTACAAACAGCGAGCGGAGCCGAACAGCCCTGCTGCCTCTCCCTCCCATCAATATTCACCAACGCCAGCCAAGTGCTGGGAACAGCTGGTCTTACATTAATTAGTTTAAAGTATTTATTTCACCCATCCTCAGAGCAGATTGAGCAAAAACATTGGAGATTATTTCAAGCATCTGCAAATGCCCTGGAAACATCCTGGCGCCAAAAGTCGAGTGTTAGGATTCACAGTTTAGGTTTGTAATTTGTTGAAGACGTTTTTTTTTTTTTCTTTTTCTCCGAACGAGGGGAAGAGACGGTGAAATATGCACCGCTGGTCCATGGAGAGAGTAAACAACCTTTCTCCTTTTTTCAAAGGAGTTCACTACAGTTGATTAATTAGAATGGATGGTTGCCTAATGGATTAAAATTTGTTTATAATTTGACTTCATAAAAGTAATGAATTGCCTACTTTTAGGAAGCCACTCTTGCGGTAATTTATTTTATTCGGTGCAGTCCTGTTTGATTTGCCTTTTGTTGTTCTTGGTGTTCTTTTTAGAGGTGGGTCAATGTTGAAATGCACAGTGGCACAACATGAAAGTCCCATTTTATCTCAATAAAATACCTAATCAAAGATCAAAAGCATTACAGCTGGCTCCAGCTCCAGCTGATATAGATGTATTGCGTGTGTTATATGCATGCATCACCCACCTCCAATAAAATCACCATAACAACTCGGGACGTTAGTAGGACCTCGGGGAAAGGTCTGTCGTTGTAGCTTTGTAATTGATTTGTACTGTAGGCACTTTGTCCCTTATTTAGTGTTGGCATTAATCATAAATCATTGCTTTAACAAACTCCAGCTTCCCACTCAGCAGGCCTTCCCTCCAACACAATGTTGGATCACAGAGAATATTTGATGGCTTTGTTGCGGGGGAAACAACCTGTCATGCTCTGGGAACACACACAAAAAAAGGCAAACAGCGTGTTTTGTTCGACAGACTCTGAACACCGTTACAGCACCTCTTGTCAAATAACATTTCCACCAGGAGTGATGCATAAAGAGCGGCGTTATAGAAAGAAAGGGAATGCACCGCTAATCGTTGGCTAATTTGATCAATATAATCAAACGAGGCTTTAATGAAAGCGAATGAAAATTTCAATGGAACTCAATCTAGGTCTGCTTTTTATTTATTACATTTTTTTTTGCTATTAACTTCCCCCGTCCCTTCTCTCCCTCCGCTGGGCTGTGAATGTTGGCATGTGTTTGCATGTTTACTTCTCACCACCGCCGCAGAATCATCGACTTCAACTTAATTACAGCGACAGGAGTTGGAGTGATGGGGGCCGGTGGGATGGAGTGCTGTTTCCAGGTGATATTTTTACACGTAGCAGCCAGCAGCCGCTTTGACAGCCTCTTACCGTGCTCACCGTACGGTAAAGGTACAGTTATTGGGGGAGGTGGGGGGCTCCTGTTATGAAATACTGCGTGGAAAAACACTCGCGGGTCACCTCTGTCACAAATAACATTTCACGCACAACTGTTTTGTGTGGATAATAGGAGCCACAAATAAAAATGGGACGCTGTAAATACAATGCATTCTGAATGAAACACCATAATTTAAAACAACGTGCCCCCCCAACACCCCCTCCTCTTCCCGTCCTCCACCTCCACCCTGCTCTCAATAGCTGCAGAGGGAGTCCTTGACAGTGTGGTAGCAATGATGAATCACCTATCCAGTTAATTTTCTCACTCCTCATGTGTTGTGCTACTAAAACAAGGGCCCAAGAATTGACTTGACAAACTACGAATGTAAAAAAAAATATATATATATATATATATATATATATATATTTTTTTTTTTTTTTTTTTTTTTTTGAGTTGGAGGGGTCTGGCCTTATCTCCAATTTACATGTTATTAGATTTATGTTGCGAACAGCATGTGATCCGACCAAAGCTGAGGCAACAAAAAAGAAGATGGAGCGCATGATAACTGGAAATAAAACATGTCTAAAACCCGCATTGGAACTGTTTGATGAAAAGTCGTGAGGAAGCGAGAGGAAAGTGGCCTGATTTAAAAATGTGACAGACACACGCTGCAATCTGGTGTAAATCTAGAGGAAACCTTGGGAAATTTAGCTGCAATCTCTGGATAAATAGCTGTAATTGACCTTGGGAGTTGAAAATGTGCCATATGTTTCTGGTTCCTGTGTTTGAAACGGAGTCCCCCAGGACATTTATTGCTGAGTACTCACACGGAAGCAGCGAGAGCAAGAGGAGAGGAAGGTAAGACGGAGAAAGAGAGAAGAGGAAAGACGATGAGAGGAGCGCCACGGATGAGAGAGGGGTCGGCTGAAGACTGGAGTCGGATGGACAGACAGGTGAAGCACTGTGCCGGCTGCAGGAGGAGGAGGAGGAAAGCGTGATTGTGCACATGGGCTTAGCATTTCTTGAAGGAATACATGTTGTCCACCACCTTTCACATCAACGTGTCAAACTAAGATCATCTTATGCTGAAAAATTACACAATTGTAACCATTTTGGTCAAACAGCATTACAGTGGTCCCTCGTTTAACACGGGGGATCCGTACCCTGAAGTCCCGCGATAAGTGAAAAACCGCAAAGTAGGAATAGTAGTACAAGTAGAAAGTAGTAGTTTATTTTAGTATTTATATATAAAGGTGTTTTAAACCCTTCCCACATTCTTGCAATATTCTAAACACTGTTTCTAAACTCCAAATGATCTAAAACAGCACAGAATGTCATGATTTCAGCTCCTTGCCTCGGCTGCACTCTCGGCCACGCCCACTTCTCCACTCTGCATGGAGATCAGCTGATCAGCTGAGGGAGGAAGCTTCTCCCACCGCTATGGGCTGCACACAAGTGCTAAGTCCTTTAATTTATTTATTTATTTTTTTTAATCCATGCCGATTGTGTGGCTCATCCATCAATCAGCCAGCTGTGTGTCGTGTCCTATGTTACTTTGAAAAATCACGATAGAGCAAGTCCGCGAAAAACAAACAATGAAGTAGCAAGGGACTACCGTATACAAAACCGGATACGATATTGAAAAATTATGCATGGGCTTGCATGGTCTGTCAGCACTTAGAGCAGGGGTGCCCAAAGTGGGGCCCGCAGGCCAAAGTTGGCCCACCAGTCCATTTCGGTTGACCGGCCAAGCTGTCCTCATTACTATATTAAAATTTCCTTTGAAGAATCAATGTGCTTACACTTATTGATTCCACCCATTGACTTTATTGCTAGTTGGCCTGACTACCATAATTTAACTACATGGATTACACAGTACAGTAGATAATTTATGTATTTTTAAAATAATTTTAATTCATATTTTTATATTTCATTTTGACAGACTTTTTACCATCCCTTGGCAGCTTCCTGCCACTGAATAACATTTTCCTTTGACAGAACACACTTATAAATCACACAAAGTGTTTAAAAGTAAATTGTAAATATAAACTGGTTTCAGTGGTGATTTTAGCCTCTTTAAATTTAAACTCAGCACCCCAGAAAAATAAAGAAACCGTCATTAGGATTGTGTAAGGAAACAGTTCTCAAACCTTAGATTCACCAAAAATATTGAATAAATATGGAATGAATGACGACAGTCTCAAACAGGCCAATAAAATCTTTGATTTTTTTTGCACAAGGCCCGCCACCTGTCAATCAATCCAGTAGGCACGTCAGCAACTGACCAATCAGCAACCTGGATTTGTCCTGAAGTGAACACCTCTTACCTGCAGAGCTACAGTCGTGTTGCACTAAGAACGCTTTGGAGATTTCAATAATAACAGAGTTTACATCTTTTGTTTCATGTTAATCTATTGTAATAAACTTTTGTAAAATAAACCAGAATGCAGGAAATGGCATCTACTTTAATCAAAATTCTCTGGAGGAGGACCCCCCCCCCCCACCACCACCACCAACACAGGCTGTTCTGTGATGTTCTTTATAGAGTGGAAGGATAAATAACTGTAATAAATAAATGGACTTTAAAGAAGTATTTGCATTTCATGTATTATTGCATTTGGCCCGCAGCCCTCTGATAAGATTTTAAATTTGTCCCTCTCAGGGAAAAAGTTTGGGCACCCCTGACTTAGAGTGTACGTTGTGAACTCTCAGCTGCTACCACACCAAAGCCACATGTAGCCATTTCCATGTGGACTAAGTTCAATTAGCTGCGGTGGCTATCGTGGATTGGGCTGAGGCCAAAAGTCAATCAGTTCTAAACATAGAT